ATTAACAACAGTTCAGAACTAGGAGGATTGATTAAATCTTCAATAGTAAAAGTGAAAAAAAACGAAGAATTTAATAGCCCAGCCATTTCATAATCAGATATTAGCCTTTCTTTATAATCCATCAAAGGCCCTACTCCCATTATAATGTATTTAAAGAAATCCTTACATTTTCAGCCAACCTTTTGTCAGATACCTTTTAGAAGTTACCAACTTCCTGACCCAACCAACTTTTTTGATCTTCTCTAATCCTCCAAGCCTCCCATCACAGCAGTCAATTTGAACTTCTTAAAGCTTTTATGTTTTTAATTTCTTCTCTTTCATGCTTTGTGAAACAACCTGCTCTTTTGCTTGCAGTCACCTTTTTTTATATTTTCTCACACTTGACCAATATATCCAATAAATTCACAATGGAGAATTCTTGTCACATCCCTTCAATATTGTTTTGAAACTTGTAATCAAAACCTCATTTCCTCTGATCTCCATATGCAGTAAAACATCAAACCAAACTGTCCAATGATACTTGCACCTAGATGTTCCCTATCACCACCCTACCAACCATTTCTATTTACCAATTTAACCATAAAGTCTAAAGTAACATTGTTCCTAGTAGGATTTTGGCCAATGTGTGAATAAAACCATCTTTAACAGTTTCTAAACACCTGCCTCCCCTATGTTTTCAGTCTCATATTTCCCAAACTATATGCTTGAAGCTAAAATCCCTCATAAATATGATCTCTTTAAGAACTGAAATCTTAATCTCACTGTAATTTCTTATTAATTTCCTCAGTTTCATCTGGTGGGCTATAACAACTTCCAATTAAAAACATTTTCCCCTTATATCCACTAAAAGAAACTTTATCAGATTCGGTCACTTGCTATTATCTTTGATATGCTCAACTTCAACAGGATGCAACTCACATTTTATGTTTAAAATCCACTCATCTCCTTGCTTTAGTATTATATCCCTACTAAACACCTTAAAAGTATAACCTTGTATTTCAATTCTGTAACCATAATTGTGTACATATAATCAAGTTTGTTATTCCTATTATATCAAAATTATCTGTTTCAACAAGTGCTCTAAATTCATCTCTTTTATTTCTTAGTAGCTGGAGCACCGGTCTCCTGGACGGAAGTTATGTTAATTCATGATTAATGAAAGGTTATCTTAGGACATTAATAGTTGCTTCCCTTATATGTAATTGTAAAACACGTCCATAAAAACTGCCAAAACACAAAATGTGAAACCACAAGTTGGCATGTATCTCCACATAGACCCAACAAACCTTCATGTCAAATTTGGTAAAAATTTATCAACAGGGGGCGAAGTAGTAGAAAAAATTCAAAACGAACATGCAAAAACGCATCCATACCCTGTTAAATAGTTACATGGGCATACAATAGACAGTATTATTATATTTATATAGATACCTCTAGCACTACAATAATAACAAGTTAGCCAAGTTCTGTACTTTGCTCCTACATTATAGTTCATACTTTTCTCTACATTTTATTTTTTAATGTTTCTGCAATGATTAAGTTAACCTCACACTCACCACCATCTAGTCTGGTTTAAAATTAAAGCTGCTCTTACAGCTGAGTTAGCAGTCTTTGCAAACCTTTAACCTATTTAAATGTAAACGATCCATTCCAAAATGTTTCCTTTCCCATTTAACTGAATTCACAAATCCAACCCACCAATCTGTTCATCCTTACAGTTACACATTAAGCCTAGCACTCAGCCCTTAGTGACCTACTTTTATTTTCATCCTCATTATTAAACCTAGGCAGTATTCCTGGTTATGACCGTTTTCTTAACAATTCCCCCTTGAACGTAAACATTTTTTTTCTTTTTCTCTATTTAGACTAGCCAATAACATTTTCTCCCTTTTCACCCAATTTGGAAGCGCCAATGCAAACCAACTTGTCTCAATGATTCATCAGGAAAGACGAGACAAAGCTCAGATATATATTTATTGTCAAAGTCATATGCCTAGCTGATACACTGTTCTGAGAATGTGGTATAGTTGGAAATATTATAATCATGAATCGGCAGGCCAGTTTTGCACTACCCACTAGGTACTCCCCTCCAAAACTAGCAATAGCCTAAGCATTACTGTAACCTATAGCGACAGCGTCACATTTTGAACACTAAAAGAGGCATTACGAGATATGCCTCTCAGGAGCCCTGATATGTTTAGTATTTTTATTTTTATATTTCATGTAAACATTTTCATTAATCTTTTCGAGGTGTGTATTCCTAAGTGGACATATTGTAACAGAAAAAAAAAAAAACATTAAAAGAACTACTTTAAACTGTTCATATTTTTATATTTGTTGTTTATTTTAAAAAATCAAAAAATAAGCTTATTATTATTATTTT